TTTTTTAAAAAAAAAAAAAAAAAAAAAAAAAAAGGGAATTCCCTGGCAGTTCAGTGGTTAGAACTCCACACCTCCACACTTTCACTGCAGGGGACAAGGGTTCAGTTCCTGGTCGGGGAACTAAGATCCTGCAAGCTGCATAGCTTGGCCAAAAACAAAAAAAAATTGAATTAAAGTGGTGAGTCTTTCCTGCCTACTCAGTTGCTAAGTTCCCCACATGTGCTTCCCTTTTTCCCTAGGAGAAGAGAGCTCTGGGCAATGAGGCTGATGCACTATGTGATTTATCCCTCAACATATAATCATCATCATCACTCCCCATTGAAGAGAGCTTTTAACTCTCTAAAGGGCTTTCCTGTCTATTAAACCATCCCTTCTCCACTCAGCTCCCTTTTGATGTGGCTAAGACAGGTGTTGTGTCACCAGGTGCCAAGGAGATAAGGGACTTGCCTAGACTTATTCCAAGAGCCCCTGACAGGAGAGAGTCATGCACCCAGGGCTCCTAAGACCCAACTTGTGAATCTGATCTTGATTCTGTAACCGATGGTGGCTTTAGATGGTGCTGAGGTCGGCTCGTCAGACAGAGCTGGGCTAGGCTTGGGCATGCCTTCCTTTGAATCTCGATAGAGCACTGGACTTAGCATGGGGGAGGCCAGGAGTTTTACAGGGAAGCCAAGCTGCTGTGGTCTAGACCAGTGGTTCTCAACCAGGAGCACCCCACCCACACTCCACAGGGACATTTGGCAACGTCTAGAGATATTTCATCTCCAACTGATCAGAGCTAATGGTGGGAGAAGGGTGCTACTGGCATCAAGCGGGTGGAGGCCAGGAATGATGCTAAACATTCTACAAACACACAGGACAGCCTCCACAGGAGAGAATTATCTGACCCAAAATGTCAGTAGTGTGGAGATTGAAAAACCCTGTTCTACACTGGTATTTTCACACAAGACAAGTACGACACACACACACACACACACACACACACACACACACACACACACACACACACACACACACACACACACACACCTTTTCCCTTCAGGCCCTGGTTAGTGGAACTGAAAGTAAAAGGGATTGAAAATCAAGACGATTTGAAATACAGAGCATCAGGGAAAAGTATCTCTTTGACCTTAGCTCTCAAATAATTGCAGCAGGTTATATCCTATGACCAATCAAATGCCTTTAATATGGGGGCTTTTGAACACAAGTTGTTTTTGTTTTTGTCTTTTTGGCTGCGTTGGGTATTCGTTGCTGCGCACGGGCTTTCTCTAGTTGCGGCGAGCAGGGGCTGCTGTTTGTTGCAGTGCGCGGCCTTCTCATTGCGGTGGCTTCTCCTGTTGCGGAGCATGGGCTCTAGCTGCGTGGGCTTCAGTAGTTGTGGCTTGCAGGCTCTAGAGC